TAGACAACACATTATCTCTGTCATCATGGAGATTTATCTTCATATCATCATTTAACAAATCTTTGTTAATTTCAATGTCACCTTTAAGAGGGGTATATCCCTGGGAATTCATAAAGTCTTCATCAGAATTAATAGGAGTAGGAAATTTCCTATTTTCTTCCTCAACTTTATCTTTCCCTTTGCCTTTTTATGACAACTGTAGGAGTGTTAACAAGATTCAGCTTTTCAGTTTTGCTCAGTCCAAAAGTAGACATGATCTGAAAGCCGAATTCCTCTATAACTGCTGCTTTAAGCTACTCATGATTTAAGTGGGGTTTTTCGTTTTTAATTAGTTCTTTAAGAACTTTAATAGAATTTAAATTAGTTCTAATATTTATACTAGTAGAGGGAACCATTGATGTAGAAGATGAAGCTTTATCTGTTGAAAATTTATCTTCTCCTTTATCTATGTTTTTAAGACATTCCGCTATAATTTTATTTTAAACTCAAGCGGATAATTTTCTCAAAATTGGGCCAAATATTTCCTGATTTGTCTAGAATCAATAATGTCCCTGATTTGTCCGGGATCATTAATATAAGGATATATCCTTTTAATGAAATTATGAAGCTCCATATATGGAGGCAAAGTCAAAGATTTTGGAATAGTAGAGAGAGATTTATCTCCTGACAACTTTTCTTTATAGTCAACTTTATTTGACAAAGAAGCAACAACTTTAAGTTATTTTGACAGGTTATTATTCATATCACATTTATGTGATGATGTCTTTATAGAGAGTGGAGGATAATAAGTATTTTTATATCCATTAAAATAATAAGAATCCATATATGGATTAAAATAATATGCACTTCTATATGCATCAAAAGCATTTTTATAGTCATTAGAGAAATATGCATGTTTATATGCCAAAACTTGGGTTCTAACAGTTATACCACCAAATTTATTTATCATTTCTTGGCAAAATTCTTCTGGGGCTATAGTCTTCAGTCATTGTTTATAATGCTAATCATAGTGTCAGTCATTAATTTCAAGAATAAGATGAAACTTTAAACCTGCTTTTAAAGATTCTTTTTGACGTCTTACAATTCTTAATAAAAAGATAGGTATATGATCAATTAATTGATCTTCCATAGCATTGCAATAGAGACACCAACGTGAAACTTTATAATTATTAGTACTCCATGTGGAGGAAAAGCTATAAACATCTTCTCCTATATAATCACAAAAACAGTCAAGAAGTTCTGGTGATTTGGCAATAAAATCCAAAGAGAATGAATCTGGGTTAGGACTCATTTATGTAACTTCTTGGTCTTGTCCTGCAAAATAAACATCACTTTTTAATATGTTAGAATAGGATATAAAATTTAATTGATTTTCTTTATAAATCAGATTTTCTTTTATTTGATTTATCAATTTTATTTGAGGTGGAGTTATAAATTCAAATAATATTTGTTGACCATTTATGGTCATCAAAATTCCTTTAGAATCAATCCTTTCTATAGGTTCAATTAAAGATAAAAATGGTGTTCTAAGATCACCAATTAATTTAATTTATCAATAAGCATAAAAGTGGTAAGAATATATATTCCTTGATTATATACAAAAATATTAGAAAGTTTAAAATTTATATTTAATTTTGACCCATCAGCAACATTGACTGACTGAGTAATTTTTTCAAAATATTTAGTTGGAATTAATCCTGTTTTTATGCAGTTCATATCTGCTCTACTGTTAATCAGAGCAATAGTTTCGATAGTAAACTCATAATTTATAACCAAAATAATTTTAACATACCATTTTTGATAAGTTATTTTTTCTAAAATATTTATATATTTAGGAAGATAAAATTCGTCATTACAGGTGTCCTTTATCATCTGGAATTCTCTTGGGTCTAATTCCATAAAAAAAATATTTGGAATCCGATTTCAGATGGAGTTAAATCAAAATCTTTATCAAAGTCTTCTTCTTTTTGAGAAAATATGTTAACAGGTCGATAGATACCATGTGGAATATTATTTTTTGAAATTTTAATTCTTTCAATTATGGGTTCTTTATCTCTTCTTCGATTTTGGACCGAGGAAGTAGATTTTCTTAAAGGTATAAAAGATGTATTATAACTTGATGAAGTTTCTGATTTATCATAAGATTGTAAATAATTTCTAGAATTTATCCTAGCAAATTTTATAGTGACATCACCCTGAGATGATTGAGCGATCTGGATTATTTTGTTATTGATTTCTGGTTCTTTAGGAACTACAGACTCAAATTGCCAGGTATCTGGAAATTGGATATCTGACCATTTAATGGTTTTTGAGACTTCAATTTTATTTTTAACCGTATTAGTTTCAATTAAAGTGATTTGACCTTTAAAGTTCAAAAGCTTAGTTTCAGAACATAAAATATTCATAACCTAGGCAAACACAATTATATCTGTGTCTTCTTTATAATTATAATTATAACCATATATATATATATATATATATATATATTAATTAATGCGGGTAGGATAGGATAGCAATGCAAAAATTGATGGGTATTCTGTATTTCTACTCGATTTTTGCGATTAGCGTAAAATTAGATAGAATAGGTAATTACGGCAATTGAAAATTTGACCACCCTAATTATAAGCCAAGACCCCCAAAAGATGTAGTCCTTGAATGCATGGAAACCTTCTTTGTGCTCTTTCCAGTCGACCGAAGGCAGCTTCAACCAAAACCCATCTCTCTTCTTCCCACCGAAAACTTCCACAGCTCCACCTATGGCCACCACTGCCATTGACCTACTCTTTCTCGGCCCATCATTTTCATTTACTTCAAAAGAGATCAAACCCATAAGAGTCGAAGAGAGAGAGAAAGACTAAAAGATACCGTACCTAAAAAATTAGGGTGGTATTATTCTCATCCCTTAAATCTTTTTTTTCACTCCATTTTACTCTTTTATTTCAAACTATTAACTCTACCTTATCTATACCTACCCAATTAGTTATTAAATTTACTCCATCAATAATCACCAATTAAAAACTAAATTCATCCCATTTTATTTCAATTTATTACATACACAATGATCAAAATTTCGTTTCGTGTACTATTTTGGTACAAAAACATTTAGAAACAAATAAAAAGTGATAATTTATTTGTAAAATATTCCAAAATATTAGTTGAAATATTTCAAAACACCTTAAAATATTCTAGGTCATCTCAAAACATTGAAATTTTTCTTTAATTATTGTATTTGTTTCGATTTACCTAAACGACATATTTAATAGTTTGATGATACACATATAAATGAGATGAACTTAGTCATTAATAAGGTGTATATAGATGAAGTGAACATATTAATTTGAAATAAGATAATTAAACGGGGGTGAGAACGGATATTTAATGGTGGGAAAAACCTCACTCAAAAAATTAATATTGTATCTCTTAGCTCGTGAACCTACCCTCATGGCTTGTTCCTTCGGAACCTATGTGTCTTTGCCAATTCGGTCAGCCCGGTGAGCGATCACGACTAAGCGAGACTCATTCGTTGTCTCGCAATACATTTTTATCTTTTCAATACAGCTCGTGACCTAAAAAAATCCTAGCCCACTCGCCCCTACTCTCTAAAGTTTGTCACTCGTTCACTCGCTGCTCTACGACTAACCATCCTCAAACTGATAGGGAGACAAAACGTGTGAATGGTCTCTTATAAGAATATTTGAGACATTTGATTGTGGCCAATCAACACAGCAAATTGGGTTGATCTTTTGGATATTGCCAAATTCTGTTATAACATTAAACTGAGTTCTGCTACTGGAGCTAACTTTTTCGAGTTTGACAATTGGTTAGCAACCTTTAAGTCCAAACGAATTAACATATGATATAATTGTATTGTCAGGGACATATGATATAATTGTATTGTCAGGGCCCTTTTTGTTCGATTCTGGGGTTACCAGTCACATGTTAGGTGATATCTTTTTTTTCTCATCTCTTTCTCCTTTACCTATCAAAGATTCTGTTAATATTGCAAATGACACTCTCTTAACTCTTTCACACTATGGGTCTATGTCTTCATCTTAGATTCTTCATGTTATATTCTCTTTTTCTCCGCTAAAGACTAACTTGTTTTCTAACATTATTTTTTTGGGTATTTATATTATTTTTCAAATAAAATTTATCAATTTTTTGAGTGCATTGACCTTTTGAGTTCCCTTACTGTCATTTAATTCATTTACCACATGTTTGGTGTGAAATTTACTATTTTTGAGTATTTTTTTCTGTTTAATATTGTATCCAAAAATTAAGATTTGGACTATAATGTTCCCCTTCTTTTACTTAATTGGCCCATGAAAATGCAATGCTAATTATAGGTAATTTTTTTTTTTTTTGTTGGGGTAAGTACGTATAGAAAAAGTCAATTGGTCATAAGTGGAATATTGGAGGAAGTGATAGGACCCTTAAACGAGCCCGGGGTCCTCTACTTGAATTTGAATTCGACTCATTTTTTTCTTGGTTCGGTAGAGTCAAACTCAAATAGCTTTGAATATGATATATAAATTCTTTATGATAACAAATTACAACACACACAGTCAGTATAACATACAAAAAGCTTGATGTTATATCCAGAAACGAATTCAAGTCTCATTGGACATGTGTTATTTTGGATTTAACTCGAGCATACTAAGCCGTATGATCTAGAAATTGAGCTAGGATCCTAAACTGACGCCCATGTGGATAATTTTTTTAAAACTTGCATTATTTGTAAAATGAACCAAGCTACAGAAATTGACTTGTTAACGACTTGTTCAAAATCGCTCTTGTGATAAACGAGTTAAACTTGAACTCATTTTGGAATATGGAATTGGTTTGTGTCTTCAATATTTACCAAACAGTTGTAGAATAGTGGTCCCTGTCTTCAAACAAAGCAAAAGACAGGTATTCGAAGAAAAAATGCAAGTTCATTTCTTTCTTTCCCAGGGTAGTAATTGTGAGCAAATGAATAATATACATATAATGTTATTGTTTTAAGGAGACAAACAAAAAGAAGAAGTGTCTGGACTGATATCCTGGGCTACCTGTAGAAGGTGCTCTATGTTGATTTTGGGGTAGTGTTGGAGAAGCTTCAAGTTATCCACAAAGTCACCACTTAACAAGTTGGTTTTCACACACAGCAGCATGGCACAACACACCCTTAAAAGCATTTCCTGCACCATAGCAATCATATATCTTGTGTGTAACAGGTAAGAGAAAATTGAGTAAATAGCAAGGTTGCAAATGAACAGAGTCGAGCTTGGTACTGTAGCTCAGCTTGTTCAATTGTCAAGAGCATTTGGGTTGGCTCTGGACCTCTTCAAGTTTCAGATATCTTGTTCAAGTTTGGCTCGTTAATTTTAATTTTTTTCAATGTGGGGCTTGACTCGTCTAATCCAAGCTTCAGCTAATGTTCAAGACTTAAGCACGAACTACCTCATCTCATATATATATAAAAACTCGTTCACGAGACTAAGAAGCCAAGCAAACTATTATTTGAGCTAGAGTTCGGTTCTTGTCAAAACTAACTGGATACTGGACTATAAAAGGGAGAGAAAATGACCTGAACACCAAAAGGATTGCTTAAAAGACAATCCCAAATTCTCAAGATGGAGTGGAGATCAAACTCCTGTGTAAGCAGCAGTGTAATCCACCTGAATGCATAGAATTGCGGGTTAACCTGCTCATTACGACAAATATATAAGCTTCCCCAATTTATACACATTATTGATCATAACCATCAAAGAATGAAGTTGAACAAGATAAAGTGAGGACTGCCTAACAATAACATCTTAAGAACTAGAAAGTTTATCCAATTGATAGAAGAGAGAGAATTTACACTTCAAGCTTGGTTCTAATTCCATTGAACTCACCTTGTTTGTGAGCTCAAGATGCCGCCACAGTTCTTCATCATTGGCTTTCAATAACCCTAACAAGCGGGAAAGTGTAGAGTGTATACCCACTGAACTATTGTCAAGTTGTTCACAGAAGTGGTCCACCGAGTCACTCAATAGTCGAACGAAACATGCAAAACTATCCGCTTCTGCGTTAGCCTGCACAATGCAACAAAATATAAATTCGGTCATTCAGAATAGTAAACCAAAGCATACGATTGCGTTCCATACTCACAAGCAAGAACTCATTCTGCTTAGTAATGAAAACATCCTGAGTACGGCTTTTTTGCTTAACAAATATAAAGCAAATATAGAAAATAAAACAGATCCGGTGATGAAAGCAACTCATATGGCAATGAAGGCAATTGAGAATGTAAACACTCTGTACAGTTCTCTAAAGTTTTCCCTCGAAACCCTCCTTTCTACCGCAGATTTGGACCTCAGGTAGATATTCATCAAGGAACAGAAGCTGATTCTCAGCTCAACTCTACAAAAATGCAAAGACATATCTTGTGTGCAGAAACATCTTACAGCATTTTTCTCATCGGCGTCGGTGCTAAACACATAGTATAATGGTGCCAAGACCTCATTCATGCCTTGCACATAACGGATGACAGGATTTAGTTTTGCAAACAAGAGAAGAATATTTCTCATAGCTTCCTGCAAAAAGAATTATAGCATACCATTGTCACATAAAGTCAGTGGGAGCATCTATTCATAAGCTGGAATATAGGACTAGACAATGTGACTTTGGCTCATTCACCGAGGCATATACTCCTAGATATATACATTATGGAACTCTCAATCAACAGGCTCTGTCAACAGATTCAGGTATTGGGTCAAGGTAAAAAAAGTTCTCCATCATTGGTGGTGAAGGCTTAAGTAGGGTCACCCACTGGTGACTGCGAGTAGGAAATTTAGATTAAACAGAACTCAAAACAAGAGGTTAGAAAGAAACTGGGGGAACATCGTACCCTGTTTTTCCTACTTAATGATGAGTTACTGGAGAAGAATTTCATGTCTGGGTGTGTGCGTAGTAAGTCACGGTCAATCTGCTCCAAAATCTCTGTAAACTAGAAACATGTTGATCGCGAGATTAACCAGCCCAAGTATTACTCAAGGAGCAAAGATAACAATCCAAATTAGAAGGCACTTACCTGGAAGTATTGATGCCACACACTAGCCTGACCAAGGCACAAGGGGTGATCATCAGTGGAAACATCATGTCGTGCAAGCTGCCCATCAGCATCACTACCAGCATATTGCTTATTAGACCTCAATGGTTCATCTTCCCTCTTTGAGAATTGTGACTGTCTAGATTGAAGCATCTAGTTAGTATTCAGAAATCAAACCCCACAAAATGGTGCATCTAGTAAAAATCAGGGTGTCTAGATCAAAAAGACATTCGATTAACTAGTCTATTCACTATGTGAAAAAGTCCATGGAAAGCAGCATCTTACAGGACTTAAGAGAAGTTCCTCTTTTAGCTTAGCATATTTTGATTGATTCTCAATCAACTCTTTCTCCCATAAGTCACGAGAAGCAGGTAAATACCCCAATAACAGCTGCAAATGTGCAAAAGATGACGATATTATTACCTACAGATCACGAGTATCTAAATGAGAAATAATTACACGGCTGTGGGTTAGGTTTTTAATATTCATGGTATTGTCGATAGATAAAGAGGCCATTTATTATCCAACGGTGTTCCAACCAATGTGGGGTGTTGAATGCATTAGACAGGACAATAACCTAACCACTGTTACTATGTTGCACAAAGTAGCATTATCATTGGACGTGATCTGAAAGTCAAAGATATAGTAAGTAATAGGTAATAATCATTCACAATTTCATATCATTAATAACCAATAAAAGAATTAAGGTAAGATTTGAAGTTGTTTATTATAAAAAGAAATAAGGCAAGAAAACAGAAAAGAATTGAAAAAGCAGACAGAATGCTGGACTCAATGGCCTAGGCAGACAGATACACAGACACAGGCACGTGCAGAACCCCCCCCCCCCCCCCGGGCCCTTTTTTTTTCTGTATATTTAGTATGTTGTTCTGAAGCCATCATAAGTCCATCACTAAATTGCTATTTAACCATTCATCTCTAACAAGCAAATTCACGCTGAAGAAGATGTAAGCATCGTGAAGTACTGAAAATATGTTACTTGCAAAAATATAACGGAGTGACGAAATCCATCAAATGAAGGAATACATAACAACATAAAATCAAGGGCTAATGTCACTTTGCACCCTAAAAGATGCTTTGATTCTCAATTTACACCCTCAAACACTAAAAATCTCAATTTGCACCTTCAATGTTATGAATTAATAGCAATGTGGACCTTTCTCAGACCAGGGTTACCTGAAAACATAAGACCCCCTACGATCCCGATCTGGGTCGCACGACCCCAAACGTGGGTTGTTCGCGACCTGGCTTGGCAAAACTAGCGTCCCCAATTTTTTGCCCTAACTAAGAATTACCCACCCCAAATCAATATGCCAATCTCAATCCTACTCCAAATTTGTTCCAAAATTCCAAAAAAAAAAATAAAATAAAATAAAATAACAAAGAACTCAACATAAAATGTTTGAAGATGGCAGATGAAATACCTACCTGGGAGTGCTATGGATCGCGTTCATTTGCCTCCCTCTCTCTCCCTCGACTTCGCATCTCGCAGATGAAGACTAGTGTGGTTCCCATCCCAGATCGATCTGCTTCTCCTTCGACTTCGCAAATCGATCTCCCTTCGATGGGTTTCGTTCTGCTTCGATGGATTTCGTTCTGCTTCATTCTCCTTCGATGGATCTCTCTCTCTCTTTGCTTCAATGGGTTTCGTCTCTCTCTCTCGTTTTCTTTCTCGCTCTCTCTTTTCTATCCAGAGTTCGGACGACCAACAGTTTGACGAAAAAAAAAAATTAAAACCTACTTAAATCAAATGACCGAGACTGAATCTCTGATAACATGCACAACATTAATTTGTTTTTGATAAAAAGACATAAATAGCCTTTTATTTTACAAGACAATGTATCACATATTTTGGATAAAAAAATAAAAATACTATTACCTACCAATTAGGCACTTATTGAAAGACTCCTAGTTTTTATATTTTTTTTGTCCAGATTTTAACCCTATTCTCTACCGCCTCTCTCTCTCTCTCTTTCTCTATCTTTCTGTTTACTCTTTATTCATTCTACTGAATTGAATTTTTGTTTAAAAAAAATGATTTTTTGTAAAAGAATGAGGGAACAACAAGATTCTTCTCAGGTTGAAGAACAATTCGAAATTAATATTCAGAATTTAGATGATTCTGCTAATGAACAAGAAGTTGAACATATTGAAGTAACGGAAGAAGTTAACACTAGGCAACCACAAAAAAATCGCACACAGGAAGATCAATTACAAGTTGATGCACAATTGAAGCCACTACTCAATGAGGTCAATCTTATTGGTGCAGCTCAAAGAAAAAATCCAGGGGAATCAAAGAGTTGGTCATGTAAGCATTGCGTGGTAAATTTACAAGTTCCTATACTTAAATGCATTACCACTTTTTTGGTGCCCCACCTGGAAAAAAAGTAAAAATTAAACGGTGTCAAGCGTTGATGAATAATTTGATTAAATATGCAAAATTGCGAGAAAGAGTACAAAAGGCAGAAAAAATAAGAGTTTCATCATCCCTGAAAAATTCTACATTGATGAAGCGGCAACCTTCACCAACGACTGGATCAATTGAAGATGCATTCAAAATAATGGATCGAGACATGGTTGACTTGAAGGTCATGAGGGGATTATGTGCTAATGGAATTCCATTCAATGTGTTGAAAAATCCTCAATTCAATGAGATGATTTCAGCTATAAATAGAGGACCTAAAGATTGCAAAGCTTCCAGCTATGAAAAAACAAGAACTACATTATTGGATGAGTGCAAAAGAAGTGTTGAAAAAGATTTGATTCCTGTTAAAGATACATGGTATTCTAATGGGGTATCCATTGTATCAGATGGGTGGACTAATGTGAAACATCAACCATTTATTAATATCATTGCTGCAAATAGTCGTGGAGCTATGTTTTTATATACTAAGGATTTTTCAGGGATAGAGAAAACAGGTAAAGCCATTGCTGAATTTTTGTTGAAAGCCATTGAAGAAGTAGGTCCATTAAATGTCATTCAAGTAGTGACTGATAACGCAGCAAATTGCAAACTTGCGGGAAAAGAGGTGCAAAAGGTACACAAATATATTTTTTGGTCTCCTTGTGTTGTTCATACTCTGAATCTAATTTTTAAAGACTTTGCAAAGGAATTTGGGTGGCTTAGAAATACTTATAGAAGGGAAAAGTCTATTGTTAAATATTTCTTGAACCATACACATGCTTTGGCTATGTTTAGAGCTCAATCTAAATTGGAACTATTAAAAGTGGCTAAGACCAGGTTTGCATCGCATTATATTTTGTTAAAGCGACTTGTTGACTGTAGAGAGTCCCTTGCAACTACCATTGTTCTCAAGTCATGGAAAGAATTAGTGAAATCTGGGGATGAACACACAAGGAAGTTAAGTGCTTTGGTTACAGAAACCGTTATTAGTGAAGAATTTTGGGAGGATGTGGAGAATATCATAAGTATCACAAAGTCTATATTTTTTCTTATTAAATTTTGTGATGGGGAAGGTCAAAAAATGGGTGAGATTTATGAGAAGATGGACAACATGCTTGGTGAAATAAAAGATATTATGAAGGGTGGAAAACACGATAAATTTTCCCAGATTGAAAAAATTATGCTTGACAGATGGGAGAAGATGAATATTCTTTTGCATTGTCTTGGGTTTGCACTAACACTACGGTTTTATGATACCCAATATCTTACTAAGCTAGCACCGGGAGATACAGTTAGAAAAACTCAAAATCAAGATAGAGAGATCATCATTAGTGTTATGGAAGTTTTTTAAAAGATAGCAGAAGATGTAGAAGAAACAAAATAATTGAGAGAACAGTATGCACATTTTAACTCGCGAAAGGGTCTTTATGCTATGACGGCAGCTCAAATAGATGTTGTGACCATGGATGCTATTGATTGGTGGTCGACATATGGTTCAAAAACTCCAGAATTAGCAGAAGTGGAAAAATGTACTAATTTAAATTACAAGTTATTTATTTTTATTGTTAATTATCATTATTAATGTGTCTTATTATTTTTTTCATAAAAGGTGTCATCACAACCAATTACAAGTTCTTCAGCTGAAAGAAATTAGAGCACGTATTCATTTATTCACAATGTCAAGAGAAATAGATTGAATTCTACCAGAGCTGACAAATTGGTTTTCATCCATTCAAATATTCATCTCCAATCACGTTTCAGTGAAAACTACAAAGATGGCCCTTTTAAGAAATGGGATATAAATCCAGAGCATACATATATAGATGATTCTAGTGTGAGATTAGAGGGTTTGCGATGAAAATCCTTGGAGGATGACAATACAGATAGTTCTACCATTGTTGGAGACGAAGATCAAGCAGCTTCATCCTTACATGCTTCTATGTCTGTCTCTATTGACAAACCACCTACTAGTTCTAACAGACCGCCGCTCCGTCATTCCGGACTACATCAGACTCAAATTAGTAACTTTATAAGAGGAGGGAACATTGCGAAAGATAAAGGAAAAGAGTTGACAATTAACTCATGTGCTCCAATTTTTTCTTATTATTAAGTAATTTTTATTTGAGACTTCTTAGATATTTAAAAGTGTTATTTTGATTTGTGCTTCAAGTAGGAAGCTATTTAATCGCTATGCTATTTTTTAAATTTTAAGTCTTTAAATTTATATGCTGTCTTTTATTGATAATAAAATATGCAATCATTACTTTTTTATACATGATTATTAGTTGATGTATTGTTGTTGGTCTTGATTTTCATTTTATAATGTATATATTTATATAATTCTTTGTAATAATGAAAACGATCCAAATAATAGTTCAAAGCGAACCGCGACACAAAATAGCGTACCAACTAAACCTACCCCCACCGCACCACGTACCGCAAAAAGTAACGTACCCCGCACCAGTACCCGTACCACGTACCCAATTGACCAACGATCCTGGTAAACCTGCCTCAAACTACCCTTCAATTTTTCATTATAAATTGAAACGCGTGAGTTGCAAGTGCTTCGACTATGAGCTTATGTGTAAATTTATACAGTATTGGCGCCTCATGTGAGTTGCACATGGTAGACTTAGCTTTTATTTGATTAATAAAACCTTATTTTCGATGCATAAAATGATATCAAATTGATCACAAATGAAGATTTGCAATGATAGACACACCTCTTCCTCATACCCGAAGCACTTGCAACTCATGTGTTTCAATTTATGATAGAAAATTGAACGACAGTTTGGACGAAGTCAACATTGCCATCAATTCATAACAATGAGGATGCAAATTAAGATTTTTAATGTTTGAGGGTACAAATTAAAAATCGAAGTATCTTTTGGGGTGCAAAGTGAGATTAGCCCTAAAATAAAAATCCAAACACTAAGGGCCTGTTTGGTATGTGGGACAAGGGGAATTTGGAAGATGGGTTGGGAAATAAAAGTTCACAAAA